AAACTTAGCAAGCAAATATTTCCAAAAGAAATTATATCTCCTGGCAATTATAATATTTCAAGCCAAGCCAGAGAAAAAATGGGAAGTTTTAAAACCTACTGTTACAGAGACCCTTCAAATAATGAACACAGTTTCTATATAACAGTAACATTTAAGATTAATTTTTGTTGAATCAATGTGCCATACAACTAGGAAGCAAGAATTTTTAAAATAATTTTTGAAGAATAAAAAATTGGATTTCAGTTCGGGTACTGGCGGAATAAAAGTGCTGGCACAACCAGTGGTGTCAGTAGGGTGGGGTTGTGAGGGCTCAGAACCCCCCCTGAGATAAAATCTATGCAGTCACAACATTTTGTGAATAGGCTCTGTGTCTCATCAGATACCAGCCTCATTTTAGTACTTCCACTTTATCATGCAATATGTTGTTCATATATCATAATAAATACAACTTTTTAAATAACTTAAATACAAAATAAAAAATAAAAATTTCCATTAATTAAAACCGAAACAAAATTGAAATAGCTTTTTTGTTTATAAATTTTTTGAAAAAATAATTTTTAATTCAAATTAGGGAAATAAATTAAAAATTATCAAATTTTGTTTTTCATTTATTGGCGAAGAACAATGATTGGAAATGCTTATTACATATGAGAAATAGATATGAAAATTGCACATTCTGATGTGAAAAGAAACACAAAAGCCATGATTATTTACAGTAATCTAAAAGTTGTGATCATCATAAATGAAACAAAAATCTCTTATGTACATGTTAGAAAATGTTAACGTACCACTTGTGACTACTCTACAAGTTCATTAAGGATAGGATCAATCTCTCAAAGAAAAATATCTAAATGCTTTACTCACAATAATTTCTCTGAACAAAGGAAATATAGTCATTATTTCTTGTAAAATACTTTAAAACAACCATACATCTTAGGAATTCGATAAAAATACTTAATAAATATATAAATAATTTAAATTTATCAGTATATCACATGTATGATATCACACCCTATGTGATAATATATATCTTTGTAGATTTTTGTTGTAAAGTTGTAAATCACAAATACTAATCACATTACCATCAACAGTTTATGACCAAAGTTGCCAGATCATTTTTCAAAACTTGGTCATTTTCACTTACCATTTACCTTATAGTTCCTTTTCATTTAATATATATTTCCGTTATCATTCTAAGAGTAATGAAGGTCCCAATTCAGAGTACTTAATTCTAGCTCAACAATATTGTAAGACAGTACTTAGATTTTAAATAATGCAAGTTGACTTTTCCCCTACGCTACCATCATTTCTCTAAGAATAATTAACGTCATCACATCCAATACAACTCTGAACTTTGTAGTTGATTCAATAAGTTTTAAATTATCACTGACCAGTGTGTGGAATTTTTTTTTTTTATCAGTAGGGTTGCATGGGAGAGAATCCAATATTATTAACTGCATAGAAAAATTAACTACAGTTATTTCCCCTGCTCTGCAATTTCATGGTCATGGACTTATGGGATTGTTTTAATGTCAGACTCAATGTCTTGAGAGGATTGAATCAATATCATCACAAGGATTGAAGAATTCTGTTCCACTCAGTCATCAGTTTCTTCACAAGGATTGAAGAATTCTGTTCCACTCAAAGTCATCAATTCATCACAAGGATTATAGAATTTTGTCCCACTCAAAGTCATCATCAATTTCATCTCCCTGAAGGAAGTTTGGATGTTCATGTAAATGGGAGGGAACTCTTTCAACCTGGAGAGAAGAAAAATTTACATTTGATTTAGATGAATATGTCTTTTATACTTTGAGAAGGATAATTTACATTAGATGAAGATATATTTAGTACTTTGACCATTCATTGAGAAGTGGATGGGTTGTATTATTAACAAAAACAAATATAAATTCCTTTAAGATAACAAGTTTTTAAATGCAGTAAAACTAAGAAAGTTAAACTGATTTTCTTGCTTTAGTAAAAGCATTGACTTAGAAATTCTACAATACTCTTTAATATTTGCTTTTATAGGTTTTATTTAGAAATCCAAATGAGCTAATATAGTAAGTTGACATTTAAACTTTTTAAAAGAATTAGATTTTCAACTACCATATTTATTCATTACATTGTTAATTAGGTCGACACCCCACAAGACTAAAGAATTTGCTTTCAAACTTAATCATTAGCTTGAAGTCTAAATGACAATTATCTGCCCCTTGTTTACATTCAGTGAACACAGCTAAGATGTCACCTGACTGATCATGTGACTGCTGACACTTTACCCCATTCACTTTTGTCCTTGCATTCATTTATTTTTTTAATGACTTATTTACTATCTAACTTAATTGAAAAGTAGATTGATTTTTCTTCTTCTTCTTCATTCTGAATTTTAGTGTTGGAAGGGATCACCTCCAACACAATTAAGTATACGCGTCAACTGGTTAAGCGCCATTGAGGCCATTGACTCTGATTTCAGCCTGCTTTTCTTTCTGGATTTGCTTCTATAGCCTTTGTCCAACCAAGAACAAACTACAAAGCAGCAGCTGTTTGATTTTAGAGTTGTCTCATCTCTCTTTGAAGAGGGGCTGTCCCCAGCTACGAGCCTCATCTACCCGAGGGTTCGAAATCGATACTTTTCGGTTTAGCAACCATGAGCTTTACCGACTCGACCAGGATGATTGATTAATGTTTGAATAAAAAAAAAGTTTAACTTACTGATACAGCCACATTGGGTGAGGCCACACTACTGTTGGTGCAGGAAATAAAACCACCTGAAATGTGAACGAACAAAATTTGTCTCACGATCTACAATTTACTTTAATTTTTCAAAATGCTATTTATAGTTACACCAGTTCCGATCAATTGGTTAAAGCCAACTGTTTGCACATAAAAAAATAGCCATCAATGTCACATATTACTATGTACTCAATCCCATTAACTAAAATACATATGCATTTTTATTCATAAGTGATATATTTTCAGAATATCAAATGACAATTAGTCCTTAAATTTAAGCCAAAAAAAAAAAATAATAATTCAGCTTTGTTGCATTACAGTATAAAAACATTTTAAAAGAAAAACCCTTTTAATAAATTATTACTTTTTTTAACAGCTTCAAATATGTCCACTCTTCATTTATAAATTACAACCAGGCTTTATAATAAACTTTAAAACAATATTGCTAGCCTCTTTTTTAAAAGCTTTACATTAATCAATGTTAATAGACAATCCTCTTCCAAGGGCTAAAGTTCTAATGTGTAAGGTAATAAACCAATTATGTGAACAGTTTTAAGAGCCACAAGGGATGTAACTCTAATGCTTCAACAAAGAATTAAATAGGGCCATAACTGTAATGTCTTACCACTGTCTCCTCCTCTGCTCTGACTTTGAGACAATGCTGCCTGGTTGAAATAATTGTTTAAGGATGACGCCAAGTCCCCAAAATTGTCTGCGCTAAAAGACGACCAGCTTGATGTGTCCGACTGTTTCACAGTTTCTAAAAGACCTTCATAGAACAAGAGGTCATAAGTTAGGGAGAGTTGCAATAAAATACAACTAAAAACAAAATTCAAACTGAATTTTTTTTAAAACATACATATCTTTTTCTATTTCTTTTCAAGCATGATTTTTTTTTTTTTTTTGCTGTCAAGTTTTGTTTAGTTTTAGTTTAAAAAATATTTAAGTCTTGGGGCTTGAAATAAATAGTGGGAAGATAATTTGATCCTTTTCTTAGGACACGGACATGTTACTGCCCTTGCCAGATTTAGATTAGCCTGAACTGAGGTCCTGCCTTATCTCTTGTTGTGATAGGGTAGAGAGTGGAAAGTTAAAATTAGAATTACAGGATGTTGATATTTTGGCCATACACATGTCAATCTTTAAAACTTAAAACCTATTTTGGACACAACATTTTTTATATTATTTTTTGGTTTCTCAGAATTTAAACTTTTTAAATTAAGACAAGCACATTAGAAATATTTGTAAGTATATTTAAATGTAAAAAAAAATATATATAATGCATTAAAACATAAAAATTAAAATACTGACACTGACTGATACAATAACATTAGTGCCAAACTAATAAAAATTCTAATTTATTATCTTGACTTGTATAAATAAATCATAACAATTTAAACACTGATTAAAAAATTAGCGAAAATTAAACTTTAAAAAAAAATTGAAGTTTAGTTTAAAATATTGTGTTTCCTTTTTAAGGCCATCTCCTTCAGAAGAAAATATTTTACAAACATGCCAACAATTTGAGGCAAGCAGGCTGCTCATCTCATTGTAAAGATGAATTATTACGCTGGCTATTTTAACATTACTTTAAGATTAAATAAAGACAACATCAATAAAAAGGGTGGATTAAGAAGCTAGACAGGCAACACTAGACTGATTAAAATCCTTAATTACACTGTTGGAGTAATGTAAAGATTTATAATGTTAGTTGGTTTATTCATTATTTTAAGCCCCATGGGTTAAAGCTTAAAAAAAATATCTTACAAAAGTGTATACAAAATTCTGTTTTTCAGTGGAATTTGATGAAACAATATAATGATTGGAGTTTACAAATCTGTTTTTTTAAATGGAATTTGATTATACAATATCAAACTGGACTGAGATTTACCATCAGTTTATTCCAACATTTAAAAAAAAAAATACAAAGCTTTAATGATGTTGCTGTGTTATAAAATGTGTAAACATAGATATAAAAGTTTACAATAATAATAAAAAAAGAAATGTAAAAATGTGTTGCTACATGCTATAATTCTATAAAAGTCTTTGTATACTTGAAGGTGGTACATATTTTAAGCTAGATTCTAATCACTGATTATTTACTTATTCGTAGGGGTTATAACAGAAAACAGTTTTTTTCCAGCAAAACAATTTTCATGCTACTTGATAGTCAAGTATCATCAGCCTAACATGTTAACCAAAAAATAAAAGCAGGCAAAATAGATGAAAGCAGTCATGCAGGCTGGTAAGGTGAATATAAAAATGGTCAAGGGACATCACTGTTGAATCAAGTGTGGGATAAAAACACAGAGAGAAAAAAATAGTTGAACAGAGTGACTAACCTTGGCGTAAGCCCTCACTGGGTTTATTAAGATCAATTATACCTACAGGATTACAAGGCAGGCAGTTAGCCTCACAAGATTTATGTATGGAAAGCCAGTTTCATCATAATTAACTTTTTAATCAATAATTTTCACTTTGTTCATTGTGAAAGCATCAATGAAGCTCATATACACGGAGTCAAGCTGATTAAAATAAAAGGATTAGCTCACTAATAAAACAATGAAGATCTTCAGAATGGAAATATCTTTTTACAAACTGAGTTCTAGGATTGAATAGTTTATATATTGTATTTTATATTGTAGGTAGCTAAATAAAGAGAACATAATTTCCTTAATTTACAAAACATGTAGTTCGGGAGGGATGAATTTTTAAAAAAAACTTTGATAAAATAAAATGTTTTTCAAAAATATAGATTACATTAATTAAACAAATCAAATTTTTTCTTTTTAAATGTAAGAAAGCTAGCCCAAATACTACTATAAAAAATATTACGAAATCTAATTTATGATGGACTTATGTTTCCTAAAGTACGGTACAAGAAGATGATGACAGTGAGGTCTATTTATAGGACACAAGCCACATAAAACAACTGATCAGTAAAGTGCAGATCAAAGTGGTGAAACACCCTTTGGTTAAGTGATGAGATACTGATCAAATATTGGTTTGTCAGTGTTTGACAAACTGACCTATGACTGACACACTGACCAGCATATAAAGTGATGACAATCTCAGAAGTGATAAAAGTAACATTATGGGAACACTCTGGGAACATTATCATCCAGGGAACATAGAGCCATCAGGAAAATATGGTCTGGAACAAAATTATGACTCTGTTCTTACTGCCACTAGTCCCTGCTGTTCTATTCATAAGCCCTTGATCTTGTCTGGAATTCTAGCTGACCCTATGCTTATTGAAACACTATTACAGGAATGGGATGGGGGTGTGTGGCTAATTTACTGGAATTCTTGTTGACCATGGGCTTCTTAAAACACTACCCTGACCCATGTGAAACTGGGACATATCAATATTTTAAGACAAAGTTAACACTTCATGGACCCACCTTGAAACTGGGACATGTCAATATTTTAAGACAAAGTTAACACTTCATGGACCCACCTTGAAACTGGGACATGTCAATATTTTAAGACAAAGTTAACACTTCATGGACCCACCTTGAAACTGGGACATGTCAATATTTTAAGACAAAGTTAACACTTCATGGACCCACCTTGAAATTGGGACATGTCAATATTTTAAGACAAAGTTAACACTGCATGGACCCACCTTGAAACTGGGACATGTCAATATTTTAAGACAAAGTTAACACTGCATGGACCCACCTTGAAACTGGGACATGTCAATATTTTAAGACAAAGTTAACACTGCATGGACCCACCTTGAAATTGGGACATGTCAATATTTTAAGACAAAGTTAACACTGCATGGACCCACCTTGAAACTGGGACATGTCAATATTTTAAGACAAAGTTAACACTGCATGGACCCACCTTGAAACTGGGACATGTCAATATTTTAAGACAAAGTTAACAGTGCATGGACCCACCTTGAAACTGGGACATGTCAATATTTTAAGCCAAAGTTAACACTACATGGACCCACCTTGAAACTGGGACATGTCAAGATTTTAAGCCAAAGCTAACACTGCATGGACCCACCTTGAAACTGGGACATGTCAATATTTTAAGATAAAGTTAACACTACATGGACCCACCTTGAAACTGGGACATGTCAATATTTTAAGATTAAGTTAACAGTTCATGGACCCACCTTGAAACTGGGACATGTCAATATTTTGCCAGTCATTCCCACTGGATCGCATACTTTCTTTTAATGTGTCTAAATTCTGGAGCCAATCTGACGCTGACAAATTCAAATTTGGAACACCTAAAATGGAAACAAAAATCAGTTTTTAATGTTAAAAAAAAAATGCAAAGTTCATGGCGGTCCATGGAGCAGATGAAGTAGAGTTCACCTATTTCTGTGACCTCAGTGCATGAAGGGATAGCGTGGTCAGCAATTTGCCTATCTGCCTTTACTTTCCATAACATAACCCAGTGATGGGTGGACTCAAGACATTATATGGATTTGAACCCAGATTGGATCTATTGGGTTGGCAGTCATATGCTCTACTATTGAACCACATATTCCCATGTGACTAAACTTGGGTCGGGGAAAGTAAAGGCAGGTGGGCATAGTGCTGACTGTACTATCACTTCCCATTTTAACTCCATTTAACAAAAGAGGCTACTCTGTTAGAGGGAAAGAACTCATGTTTACTTTAGTAATAAAGCCAAGTATGGCATGTGCCTGAACAAGTTCAGACAAATATTGGATAACAAGAGAGGGTGTGGGACATTGCTAGCCTATAGCAAGGCTAAGTGCTTTATGTGTTGTGTCAAAGAATAAAGCAGCAAAAAGATTTACCCTTAAGGTTGTTTACTGGGACTTGAATGAGCCCATACTAAACTTTGATAACTGACTGGTTAAAGCTTGACTTAAATCTATTACAGTGTTACTATTTTTAGCTTCTAATTCTTAAGTCAATAAAATGTAGGCCAAATATGAAATATAAAATAAAGACAAGCAAAAATATTTTTTTAAAGTATTGATTATTGAAATTTTAAGATAAATAGTTATCAGCATGCCATATCTGTAAATTCATTTTTTTTTTAATTTTGCTTATTTACTAAAGTAAAGCAGACAGACTAAATTTAATGCAAAACTATCTGCCAAATGCTAAAAAAAAAAATTTGTGTAATTTCTGAACTCTTTGATTAGGTGCTGTGTTCAACAGATTACCCAATACACAATGACACATCAACAAACTCAATAGCACTGTTCAAACACACTTCACACATTCCAGGGGCTTCTATAGAAATGTGACCTCAATTCTAGGTTTTTCCCCTTTGTGTAGGGCTAAGTAGGTCACCACTAGCAGAAAGGTAATGCACCTGCGATTAGAACTAATCATGCATGACTTGATTAGTTCTAGTGCGGCAAAGAGCCAATTGTGAAGCTTTTCTTGCGATGTAATGTGATATAAAAGATTTAATTTAGCTCTTCATCTGACTATTATTCAAGCAATCAATTAATTAAGCACTATACAAAACATGTTGAAGCAAGCTTGGAAAAATTTCAAATTAAAAACTGTGGAATACGTGTCTGCTTCTATCTATTGATAAAAATTGTTCATTCTACTTGATACATTTTTGTTCAAGAAACTTTTATAAATTGCTACACAAGAGTTTAAAAGAAAATGTTGCTTTTAGAATATGTATAAACATACTAAACTGGTACAATGTAAAGTACACTACCAAAGGACAGCAATAAAGTCTAACAGTAACATTATATCTAGTTTAGTACAGTCAAGGGTATTAATATAATATTTAATTGTCAAGTTATTATGATTTTAAAACGAAGGAATAAACAACAGAAAAGATACCTATTGTGTACATAACAGATAAGAGAGGTATATAAATAACACAGAGTTTTCTTTTAATGCATATTTCTATTTTGAGCAGAATATAATATGTTTGTGTAATAGCTTTTTTCACTTTAAAAAAAAAATAAGAAGAATGGCCAATACACTAGCCATTGGCTAGTATTAGACTGATTAGATTCTCATGGTCAGGACTGAGCAGGTTGTTTCAAACTGACCAATCAAAACTTAAGCTTGAGGGTAATAATACAGCAGAGAATCTACAAGCAAAAACTATTTATAACATGTGATATGGTCTGATAAAAAACAAATTAATTCACTTTTATGTTATGTTTACAGAGGACTTTTTCACCACACATACATTTTTAATGAGGTATTGTTGTCACACTGAAACAGCCTCATCATTTTCTTAAATATCTGACTCAGCTTTTCGTACTTAAAAAAACTCTTCTCATTAAAACTGATGATCAGATTACATCTATATAATATAGGCTGTGAATAAACTTTAAAAGGCAAAAACACTGATAACTGTTATCATTGAAAACTGAAGAGCAGGTTTGAATGAGAACATCTAACACTTACCCGAAGAGCTTTCAAAGATAGTTTTGTACAAGTTAAAGACAGAACTGTTGAGTTCGTCTGCGTGAGTTTGAGAGTCTGAACTTCCAGAGATCAACCCAGAGGATGCTGGCAGTCTGGAAGACTGAAAGACAACATGAAAAACAAAATTAATTGATTTATCGAGAATATTTTGGTTAGGATAGTCTAGCCTATTTTTTAATGCTATTTTAACAACAGTCACTTTCATACATAACTCGCTATTTCCCCTAAGTACAATTTTTAGCTATAAAAATAAGAACATTGATGAATGAGTACATATTTGTATGGTGTTACAAAATATTATGTAATCGTTACATCTGTAATTACTATGAATAATGTATGAAGGTTTAAATTATCATCCTGTACATTCAAAAGGTTGAAAATAAAATAATTTCAATTTACATTACACTTAGTAATAATGTGTACCAGTTTTAATTATACTAATTAAAAAAAATTAATAATTTTGAATGTAAAGAGCTAAGTTTAAAGTTTCCTGTTAAATAAAGTACAGCCCCATCAGTAACACTGGAATCCCTTGAATGTTTCATTAGTTAATTAATGACATTAAGCAAATTAGTCAGCCTTTTAATTTTAATTAAAAGTACTTTTTAGGTGTTACATCATTCTTGCGTAAAAACAAAGTATAATTTTTTTTAAATATTTTTCAAAACTCAATTTTCTTTGCCAGCTTATAGTTCTTTTTAAAAAAATTCATTTGAGCTATACTTTTAAGAAGAAAGTAAATTTAAAACGCTATAAATTATATTGTACTTTACCGACAGTAGTCTACATGTTAAAATATTTAATTATAAAAAGTTTTTTCCTCTAAACCCTTTTTCTGATATTTTATCTATTTTAATTTCTGTTAATATAAATTAAATCAATATAAAATAGTCTAAAACAGTGAAATGGTAATTTAAATAAGTTTATCAAAAATGTTGGAAGAGAAAAGATAGTGAAAAGGGATTTGTTTTAAAGAAGATTTTAAAGAAAGATGGATGCAGCTATTAAAAAAGTGGACTAACATTTTCTGTGAGGGAATCATGGGTAACTCTAGTTGCTGAGAAGAGAGGGTTGTTACTGCTGCTGGGGGAGGGTGGAGATTGTTGGTGAGCTGACACAGGACTCATGCCCAGACAGCTGGAGCTGAAGGGAGATGACTGCAAGAGAGGACAAACAGATTGGTTAGAGTTACGTGTCCTTGAAAGTTTTTTTTATTTTAACACAGCCACCCAAGGAAATAAAACTAACACTCTAAGATGATTTTTTTACTGCTACTGTTAGAAAATTTAACAAAGTCAGCACATGTGTAAAACAAATGTTAAAACATGTACACACTACAATGCTTGCAATAGCTTAAAAACACACACACACACCATAATGCCAACACATGTTAAAACCTACACACATTAGCATTAACAAACACGAAATTTTTGCAAGCAACACACATTAAGTGTTTACAACTTCTACAAACACCTAACTGACATAACCATAAAATGTGCACAGACACACAAAACAGATGTTAACAAATATCTACTGTTACACAAAACATCTCAACAAATGTTTACTAACCACAAAAAAGTTATTAATATACCAATAAGAAATGACTGATGCAAGCTATAAAACATGAACTTTAAGAAACTATTATAAGCCTATATTTATTTACCAATGCTGTTACCAATCTAGCCAGTAAAACTACAAGCAAATAAAACTATTGTATACCTGACTACTCCCTGACTCTGACTTGATCTGCATGGCTAAAATGGAATGTGACTGCGAAACAGGACTCAGGCCACTATCTGGGCTGTATGGGGAGTGCTAGGGACAGTAATACATCTATTCAACATGCTATCTTATACATCAATGTTTTAAAGTTTTACGTATTTTTTCAAAAAACATATTCTAGGTTAGTAAAACCAATATATTAAAATGACTACACTTTAAATTAATATAATTAAGAATATTTCAATAATGTGTAGTTCTTACTCTGTCATTTGGTCGTTTTTTGCGATGGCGTGTGGGAGGCAGCGGGTCATCTGGTGGGAGGGTCTGTATGGCCCAATAGGATCCCTGCATAAAGTTTTCAAAATTACAACATGACACAAGTTCATGTCTTTTATTTTAAACAAACAATAAGACGTCATTCATTGTAAACTATAGCCAAGGAGAGAATAAAAGTTCTAAAAACCTACAAACAATAATAAGCAACTAGTAGAAACCGAAATGGAATCTGTTTCAGAATTAATGAAAAAAGAAAATGGCGCTGATTGGATCAAATATTAAAGATGAGACTAGATGATGTCACAGGAATGGCGCTGAGCTGGACACCTCAAGGTAAAAAAAAACAAGGCCAACAAAGACACTGAGGTGCACAGCAGAAAAACAACTGACGAGAAGGACTATCTTGGGGGACTGCAAAGAAAATAGCCAGAGCCTGCAAAAGTGGAAAGAGTTGTTTTTTTCTGTGGCATCATCATGTGTCTCAGGCACTGAAGGGAAAAGAAGGATTTAGGTCAGGAGACCTACTCCAATGTGTGTTGTGTAATATTACAGACAGACTGGTGTGTTAAACAAATGAAACATTAAGAAATTATTGGCTCCAAAAAATAAATAATGTTGCATGAGAGGATCAGGAAGTTGATGACTACCCACTCATAGGGGGCTACATGATATCTGGGTCATATGTTCATTATATCTGGGTCACATAGAGCCACATGATATCAAGGTTGCAGAGGGCTACTTAATATCTAGGTCATAGAGGGCTACATTAAAATTTATATTTAATATATAGGTCATATGTACTAAAATATATCCAGTTCATATAAGTTTATCTGAAATCTAGGTCACAGAGGGCTGAAGGAATTATATCATGGTCACAAAGGGCTACATGGTATACAAATCACAGGTGGCTAATGATACATATATCATAGAGGGATAATATGATATAGAGAGACAATCTATATTATGATACCTAGGTCACAGCTGATTTTAATGATACCTTGATCATAATGATACCTTGATCATAATGATATCTAGATCAAGAAGAAATAAATGTAATTTAGGCCTCGGAAGGCTAAACAACATCTTGATAGTAACACACACAATACGGAATGGAACATTGTAATAAAATCATACCTTGCCGGGATCATCTTTTGATCTGGGAACTTTCTGGAAACATTTATTTAATGATAGATTGTGCCTGATGGAGTTCTGGAGAAAAGAATATTTTAAAACAATTAGTGACACAATAGGAAAGGTTTATAGTTTATGGCATTAGTTTACAATAGTTTACATATTTTATGTTCACCAGGACACAGAGATGTGAAGTGTGAAGCCAAATTCATCACTAGCTGACAATGCAATCTTGTGTAAAATGCAACAGATATTAGAGACAATCATATGTAATACACAGAACAATTTAATAATCATAGACCTCCATAAACATGTGTGCGTATTTAAACTGCCCTTAATCCAATGCCAATTTTGCAACGATTTACTAAATAAATTGTAATCAATAAACACAAATAATTACAAAACACATTTTTGAGTTTTAGATATCCTTCTAAATAATACTTCATCTAGCCCTAAGCTAAAGATCATTCACATGTTAGTTAATCAATACATTTTCTCTACTGACTCTACTTATATATAAATCTCTATAGGCCTTATAGGTTATACATCAGGTAGGCCCATTATACTATTCTCATTTATTAACTGAGCTGGGTGGATTTTGTGCTTTTTATTTTCTAAAGTAGCCTAGTTTGAGTAGGTCTACAATCTACATAAAATGATAGTAAAACATTATAACACAATATTCAATAGGCCTATAGATCTAGTATAAAGAATAAAGATCTAGCCTAGGCTAATAATACTAATACTAATAATACAATTTCAAATGGCATTTGAAATGGACATGGTGATCAAATTGATAAAAAAAAAACCCATAATAAAATATTAGTATTAGATTCTAGAATAAAATAGATCTATATGCTATCTGAATGCTTACCTTCCATCCATTTCCCACCTCCTTGTAATAAGGAAAGTTATCGCATATCCAAGCATAAATTTCACTTAATGTCATTCGTTTTTTGCTTGTGCTGTTGATGGCATGCATGATTAAGTTTGCATAACTGTACGGTGGTTTCCCATCTTTTTGAGGTGTCTGCCCAGTGTGGTCATACAGCCCAGGTGGATCTGGAGATCCTCTTGCTCCTACCTGTCCAGAAATTCTTCCCAATGCATCGGTTGTACATTGAGATCCATTTATTCCTGGTCCAGGCATAGGCCCACCAACTTTAAGTCGGTGAAGCCAATCCATTTTTGTAAGACTGGATCCCAGATCAGCCATCTTGTTTAAGCCTGCTTCAGATAGTCTAGCGTAGTAATTTTAACTATTATTATTATTCAGTTGGCATTTCCGTAAAAAAATTATTTACTGCAAACATGTTCTTGTTTTAAAAACTAAACCTAGAATTTATTATCATAAAAATTTTCAATGTTACATTTCTGTGTCACATTACGTTCATTATATTATGTCTGCTAATGCGGGGCATTATTTGTCGATTCGAATCGATTAGACCGAATCACACAATGTTTCTCAGCTCGTTGCATAGCAGCAAGTACGCTGACCTTTAACCTAGCTAAAAATAGCAAATGTGCTGTTTTTCCGCGCGTTCATCCACGTGTCATGTGTTTATGGTGGGCGTGTCCGCAAGTAAAGTAGATTTATTGCGGCACAGCAGCAGATCAATACAATCTTTATAGTTTATAACCTAGTTAACATCCATTAAAAACACACCATTTTCAGTTGCTCAATTAGATATAATTGATATTATAAATTAATATATTTTTTTTAAATTATAATAAATTAAAATCTTGTAGGTATCTAGCTATATTATAGATCTATGTAATTGTAGTGTGAGGTACTAGATCTAGTGGAAGGCCAATGTAGTTAAATTATTAGGTAGATCTAAAATATAGAGTTTAAAAACGTAGCAGTAATCAAGCTAAGGAAACACATTTATGGTAAAATATGCAACGTCTATTTCTATTTTCATCTTTATTTTCTGCTAGATCTAGCAGAAAGGAAGATAAGTATATTTGTTTTTTAAAGGTTTCCTGTTTAAATCTTTGTGGCGAGTGTCCCAGCAGACGAGTTGTACACAGAGCCGTAGCAATCCACTCTGACGCCAGGGGAGAACTGTCAATTTGCCCCCCCCCCCCATCCCCTCCATTTATAGCTACTCACATTGGGGGAAAATTTGGAAATAGATAGTATGTTTGTCACTTATTTGATGTCACTTAACTTCAATTTGTATAATTATAAAAGGCTTCCACCCCATGCAGTGGCGTACCGAGGTCGGGTGTCATGTGCACCCGGTGCGGTACTTAATGGTGTGTCACCCCCCAGAGGCGTTGTGACCCTTCCCGGGGACGAACTTTTAATTTGCACCCCCCCCCCCTCAAACTTTCGATTTGCACACCCCCCCCCCCCCCCACCCAAAAAAAAACTTTCGACTTGCACCCCCCCCCCCCCTCAAGTTTTTCTCTATATATTTTGCCATTTTTTGCCTTGGTGTCACCCCCTAAATGGTGTCACCCGGTGCGGTTCGCACCCCCCCCGCCCCCCCCCCCCCTCACTACGCCTATGACCCCATGCCACCCACGACTCCGGGTGTAAACTTGCGAGAACATTTATTGAAACCTATGGTTGGACTAATTCGAATGTTGATGAAGCATAGTCTTAAGTTTTTACCTGTAGTAAGAATGGCTTTATTACTACAAGAATGTTAACTTACAGACAGCTCACTGTAAATGTGTCAAATCACATCTTATTTTTAAATTTATGATATCTTCAGCATTTATGTTTTATGAAATTCGAAATTGCGTGTAAAAGAAGAAGGTGTACCTATAAAAAATAAATCGCTCAAATATTACAATAATGTGAATAAAGCATCGACATAAAAACTACCATTATGCCTATGAGTAGATCTATATAGGCCTAGGCCTAAATTATAATATGCCTGTCCATTTTTTAATAACTTAGAACTTTAGTTCTTTTAGAAAAATAGACCATTGGAGTTAGCTTTTAAAGTTCTAAGTCTAGATCTAGGTAAAACTAATTAGGCTGCTAAAATTTAAAAAATGAAAAGAAAAAAAAAACTTTGCCGTGTTTATATCTCTGTGCCCTCAATTTCAAGTCACATGACATCCAAAATGGAAACTACCATAGTCTTCATTCAATCCCTGGGATTAATACATGCGACGCATATCTTGCTTTAATTGCTGTGTCTAGTTCTATAAAAAATGTGACATTTATTGTTTGAAACTCTGAATCACCCACATGTGCATGTTTATTAATTAATAACGATTCACGTAGTGTGGGTAATTTACGGTAATATTATACGACCGTGTGAATGTATATATATAGAAAATAGAAATAGATATTGAATGGTAATAATATGCCTGGTAATCTATCGTTTTGGGTACGTAAAATCGCCCGCGGCTATTAATAAATAATGTACGAAAACGTTACCACATTGCCAAGGCTTTAATAGAAGAAGTATATTCACAATATTGTGATATGTTTGTGTCAAATATTATAGATAAATGAATAATAAACCTAAGTCAATGGCTAAATATTAAAATAATAAATATTAGGCCTAATATATTATCAATATAGGCCAGAAATTAACTTTAAACAGCAGTGTCCATTGATTTAGGTTTATTATTCATTTATAATATTTGACACAAATATATCGCAATATACTTCTATTAAAGCCTTGACAATGAGGTAACTTTTTCGTACATTACGTCTAGCTGCGGGCAATTTTACGCACCTAAAACATTTTTTTTTTAATATCAATGCATGTATTAGTTACTAGTAGGCCTATCTATACTACACTTGCTTAGGTTAAATAATTTTAAATTGAAACTTTAAACTTTAATTTACTATTTCTTATAATTGTTGTAGAAATTATTGTAGAATAAACTCTGAGTTAACCTCTCTGCTGGCTCAGCAGGGTATAGTACCGTCCTTATCTTTAAAAGAAACAACTAAGTACAACCATTTGTTAAAGTAGTCATTTAGGTCTATTATTAATTTTGCTTTTTTTATTTTTTTTTTATTCTAACCAGCAACTGATCTGATCAAGTCAGCCTAATAATGAGCCAAAGGAAACTGCCTTCTTGGTGTATGTTTTTTCTTATCGCAAGGCTATTTTGTGTCCTGCAAGTCAAGTGCAGCGAAGATGTAGACGTTTCAATCAAGCAGCTACATCAAGATGTGGTAGAGTTAATTGTCAATTTGACCTTCAGTGAATACAGCTGTGATGAGAAGTTTCTCAGTGTTACGATAGACTCAGGTGAAATCATGGCTGACTGGAAAGGTTTTGACTTCACGTGAGCTTTTAAAACATGCAATACTTAGTTGGTAGCCCTTCAAGATTTACAATTAAAATAATTAAGGCGCTAAAGTTCCTAAATTTCAAGTCCTATTTACTTAACTTTAGGTTATGATTTTTATTTGACTCCAAACTACATATGCCAGTCATTAAAAAAAAAAAAAATTTAAGTAGATTGCAAAATTTCTATTATTCTAGTTTTGGTTATCTTCATTGGAGAAATCATTCTAGGAAATTTTCTCTTTAAAATGTAATTGAGAACAGAAGTACCAAGCCATGTAAATCTTTAATATTTCCATATAGTTGTAATCATTAATTAAGTATACCATACCAGTGGCGTAGCGAGGTTGGGTGTCACCCGGTGCGGCACTTAATGGTGTCACCCCCCAGAGGCGTAGCGACCCTTCCCGGGGACAAATTTTCGATTTGCACCCCCCCCTCAAGTTTTCGATTTGCACCCCCCTCCCTCAAGTTTTCGATTTGCACCCCTCGTCAAGTTTTCGATTTGCACCCCACCCCCCTCAAACTTTTGATTTGCACCCCCCCATCAAGTTTTTCTCTATATATTTTGCTATTTTTTGCCTTGGTGTCACCCCCCTAAATGGTGTCACCCGGTGCAGTCTGCACCCCCCTCCCCCCCCCCCTCGCTACGCCTCTGTACCAGACATGCTTTTTCACCAGGTCAAAAAAACTTCAAAACATGGCTATGGCACTTTCACCGGCTAATGTTCGCCTGGGGGGAACAAGTGCAGACTTTTTAACCTTTGACCCAGATGGTCCAGACAGCCAATCAAAATGGGGGAAAAATTATGTCCAGAACAAATATGACTCTGGCCTGTTTGATAAATCCTGGTCAAAAGATCGGAAAAATTTTACAATGTCAGGTAAGAACTCAATCTTCAACCCTTGGATCTAAACCTTGTTGTGTAGGGTGTACTTGCTCTTTTATTTTTTCAAACATATCTAACCTTAAAGGTCATCCATAAATGTTCCACTTCAGCCTCCCTCCCCCAGTAATATAAATTTTCAGTTTTGAAACACATTTTTATAGAATATTTTCTCTGCTGTGTTTGATGATTTTTTTTACTGCAGTTAACAAAAGTCTTAAAAAATGCAAAATGACTGCCAAATTCCAGTTTCAAAAACTACTTTTAAAATGAGTCTGAAGCCTCTCTTTCTGAAAACCCCCTCCCCCTTTCTCTCATCATCTCTAAGATAAATCCAGCATTCCTCAGATAAGGGACATAACTCCATCTAAAACAGCTAATGGTGTCATTACCATTTTAATTAAAAAACATCTGCTCAATTCACCTAATTGAAAGCCATAAAAAAATCTTGAAAATGGTTCAGCTGGATAAAAAAGCATTTTTACATTGATTTGGTTGATAATAAGCTAGATAGACAATCTTTAACTTACACTGTGCACAGTAATAAAACTTAATAGGTTCAAAATTTATTTCTTATTGAAAGTGATAACCAAGTGATTATTTGACACGGAATTCATGATAATCATTTGTTTTTGAGGCCCTGAATCTCTCATTCCCCCCCCCCCCCTTCCCTCCCCATCCATTAGCCCATGACTGTTTTTTCAAGCTCAGGCCAAAGTGCAAAATATACTGTATGAAATTGAGTTTTTGACTACATTCACACCCCTATGGTGTAATGTGTTTTTGATCATGGTTTAAACATTCTGTTGTTTGCTCTAATTGTTTTTATTGTTGTCAGTTTCTTACTTGAAATGAAATTCCCCCAATCTATATTGGACACACCAGAGTAAAAAAATGTTATGCTCAAGTAAACCTTTTTGAAGGGTATAATATATGAAAATGAAACATTTTTAATATTCCATCCATGGTGTCAGGAAGGATTGTTAGAAGGGGTTAGAAACCCAACCCCCCCCCCCCCCTTCCTCAATGGACCCCCAAAATGAACATTGTCTAAAGCTATGAGTTTGGCAAAGATGATCTTATGTCACTTTACATTTACTATTTCATAAAAAACAATTTAACATTGTTAAAATCATTATGTGATATATGAAAATTTAAATTTAAAAAAAAATGTACTCCCGAGTCGAATACTCGCCATTTGCTGCATAATTTATTATTAAACTTTAGTGATTTTTATGATGTTAGACACAATTCACTTGTAATAATAAAACTATTTTGTTTCTTACCAAAATTCCCTTCCACATTTTTTAGGTAGGGAGTGGGAAAACATGACCCAGTTTTTTGACCTAGTTGGCTGGGACATCATCTTTGATTTTAACTTGTTTAAGTGGAAGGATGGCCTCTGGGACCCCAGCAATGCTGAGACTCTGTTGCAGTACTCTGCTGCCCGGGGCATACGTCTGCCATGTTTTCAGCTGGGAAATGGCAAGTAGCTTTATAAATTAACTTAAATGTAAAGTACTTGTTCCTGTGGGAGGTGATGTACAGTTCACCTGTTTCAGTGACCTTGGAAGGGACCTATGCTCAGTCACCTTTACTTACCGTAACATGAGTTAGGTACTCATCAGAGCTGCATGGAATAAGAGAAGTTTTACTGATACAAACCTGGGATTTGAACTCAAGACTTACGACTGCACTCATATACTCTCCCATCCAACTGCCTAGTTTTATAAGATTTAGATTGTTTTGATAAGACCTTTTTGTTTATAAAACTGTGGTTTCCTTTTGGCAGCTCTTGCAACTGAGTTTGTTCCTAATGTAGTGATGAACATTAACTTTGCATTATACTCTCAATGTTTAGAGTGGTATTTTTATCAGATATAATATTCTAATTGGTTGTTGACTTTGAAAGCATTTGTGTGTAAGAATTCTTTGTAGATAACCTAATAGATGTGTTTATAACATTATATTTCTTTTTACATAACCTTATGCATGTGTTTAATGTTAACATATTTTTTTTACAGAACCAAATGCATTTGAGCACAATTTTAATTTTTCCATATCCCCATTGGTACTTCTGAGTGACTTCAGGATCTTAAAAATGCTACTGGCCAGATATCCTCTCTACAGATACAGCGCCATCTATGGACCAGATGTGACCAATTTGGCACACCATGCGTCATCAATGCAGTATTTTCAAGAGTGGGTTTTATTTTCCTGTTTTAAATTAATTAAAATTGTTTCAAATAAAAATGTACTGCTTGTAAGTTCTGTAGATTTTCCACCATTGGTGATATGTACGCTGGTTGTCTGTAAAGTTTCCAGCCTCAACATTAAGATAACAGCACATCTACAAAACTAGGGGCATGCGTTTACAGCTACACACACAAATGTTGCCCTTTTTGGATGTGCCATTGATATTTGACAGTTGCTTAAGTGAGACAAACTAGCTTAGATGACAGTGAACGCATGGACACATGCATACATCTACAAGAAGATTACTAATTAGAGTAATAAAAATTGATTTGAATAAAAAGCTACATGTTTCATTGTTAAGCCAAAATTTGTCCAGACAATCGTTTTATTGTCTATATAATTTAATTTAACATTATAATTGAGTTGCCGATGTAAATCTAACATTTGCCCTATATACTGCATTATGTAAATACTCCACTGCTGTTTATCCATTGGAAACTGATCTTAAATTACTTTTTTTTTTTAAATAGATTTATTGAAGCTGGGGCATACACAGTGATTAATGAAGCCAGTTTTCATCAGTAAGTGAAGAATGTTTTGTTTTGTATTTCTTTTACAACTTGAGCCAACTTTTTAACCATTTGCACATTCTGGGTCCAGGAGTAGCAACAGGAGCCTTGTCCCAATATGTAGAATAGGGATCTACCTCATGTGCTACTTACTCTGGTAATCTTATTTGGTACTTTGGTTCTCTGGTATGTTGCCAATTATTAAGAGAAAAAGCTATAATTCTAATGTTAATATAGTGACTGCTAGAGAGGCTGTTTGACACTGTTTGTCTTTGCTGACCACATAATTTCTTGTACTTGTACAATATATATGATTTGAACAGAATGAAAGGTGTGTAGTAATGTGTAGTCCTTTTGTTTGAATTTTCAAATTTTCAGTTTGTAAAAATTTAGCATAAACAGATAAAACCATTTTAAAAGCTGCTACAATTTTGTTTTAGCATTACAGGTTTAAATATCTCTTTGGTGAACATTTAGAAAACAATTTTGTCTTTAACATTTAATAATCAATCTTATTACACTTTGTCCAGCTACTACATGGATGGCAGCAAGGCTCAAGTTTTTGACTTCCTTGATGAAGACATCATGGATTCGTTGGTCACTGGGTTTGAGATAGCCCAGAGTATCATGGTACTTAGCCCAAGACCACTGCCCATTCGTCTAACAGAGACCTCGTCCTGCTATGGTGGGGGAGCACCTGGTCTGTCTGATCGTTATGTGGCGGGATTTTTGTAAGAATTGCTGTGCTTTGTTAAAGTTTAAGTTAATCATAATTTTAAAATAATTAGTTTGGGTTTTATATGTGCCTTCATAAATTATTAAAATTTAAGTTAATCACAGTTTTAAAATAATTAGTTTGGGTTTTATATGTGCCTTCATAAATTAGTAAAATTTAAGCTAATCACAAATTTTAAAATAATTAGTTTGGGCCTTCATAAATTATTCAAAAGAGAAGAAAAAAAGGGTTGTAATATGAGTGTTAAAAAATTAGGTTTTTCAGATTCAGTTAGTTGTACTGCTGAAATAAATTAAATTATGCTGAAATAAGTTGCGCAATTATTTTCATTTAATTATATTAAATAATAATAGAAAGTGTGTGTTATTTATTGAATTTTTAATAATTTTAAAAATCTAATATTTAATATTCATAAAGTATTGAATAAATAAAAGAATGTCAAATTCCTGTTGCTGCTGCATAGCCAGCACTCTTACATTTTTTGCTATTTTACCTGTTTTCATATTAATTATACTACAGTTAATGATACTACAGTTGATTGATTTATTCACACACCTTTTTTTTCTATTTCCCCACTGAAAGTTTGATACTACAGTTGATTGATTCATTCACACACCTTTTTTTTTCTATTTCCCCACTCTAAGTTTGATACTACAGTTGATTGATTCATTCACCCACCTTTTTTTTTCTATTTCCCCACTGTAAGTTTGATACTACAGTTGATTGTTTCATGTCCTAATTAATAATAACCTCAACCTTTTTGTCCATGGTCCTTATGTAGGTGGTTAGACAAGCTGGGTCTGTCAGCCCTGCATGGAATAACACAAGTGGCAAGGCAGACTTTTTATGGTGGATCTTATTCCTTGATCTCTAGCAAACTGGATCCTAATCCAGTAAGTGCCTATTATCCTGAAGCCAAATTTAGTGAGTGTTCATTGTTCTGAATCATAACCAAGTATCAATAATCCTAAATATTTATTCAATTATAATATTATCTAGAATCCTTACTAAGTATTAATTATCATGGATCCTAATCCTGTGGCTATCAAATAATTTTCTTCTTATCCAGTCAAATCTCACTTTTGTATCAGTGATACACTTCTTAAAACTTCACACTATGACTACCAATCATATTTATTTTGTCACTGATACAAAATGAATTCAGTCACAGAAACAGGCATGCTATTGTTGACTATCATTTCTGATAAATATTCAGTTAGCTATATATTTAATTGTATTCATCATCATCATTTCCCGTTCATGCGCAAGACACATGGGGCAGATGAAGTAGAGTTCATCTGCTTCAGAGACCTTGGCGTATGAATGGATAGTGTGGTCAGCACTACGCCTAGCCGCCTTTGTTTCCCTAATGTAAGCCAGGTAATCAGAGCTGGGTGGACTCAGGGACATTCCACTGATTTGAAACCAGATTCAAACTTGAGACTCTTGGGTTAGTAGTCTAGCCTCTACCGCCAGGCCACATCATCCCATATATAGTTGTATTACCTGTGTAACATTTGTAGATTATTTTTCACATCAACCTGTCAAAAATGTGTTTGGTTTAAATTTGTGTTATTTATTTAACAAGGACTACTACCTGTCCATGTTGTTTAAATTTGTGTAATTTATTTAACAAGGACTTTTACCTGTCAGTGTTGTACAAGAGACTGGTACAGGGACCTGTCTTTGCGATTAGCAACACACCTGAAAAACTTCGTGCCTATGCACATTGTGCAAGTAACAAACAGTAAGCTATCTTTATTGTTGTTATTGCATTAAAATCTATTCTGTTTTTTTTTTTAATTAAAGACGAGGCAAATATTTACATCTATCATTGGACTTTAAAAAAATATGGACCATGAAATTTGAACAATGCAAGAAATTATTTATTTTTAAAGTTGTAGTTTCATTAACATATTTACCTGAAGAAAAACATTTTCAACTCCTAAAAATAAAAAAAAAATACATATTGTCTAGTCTGCTATTTCCTTTATTTACCAATTGTGCAATGAAGGCTAATCTTGACTTCCATACTCTAATTTACAAAAAAAATACTTTGTCTTTTTAAAAAAAAAACAGGTTGAATCCTATGTCTGACTTACTTGTCATTCATCTAGTCCAAAAAATACTTAACTTTATTATACACCAGCAAAGGTCATAAATCTAATAGTAGAGTTAGTCTACTTTGGGATACGATACAGACACTTGGGCAGAGTCTGTTGCATGAATTAATACTGTGGCCATTTTAACCCTAGACTCCTTTTAATTTCCTTGAGTTTGATCTGCCATTGTGAGGTGGTGAACTTTAGACTTTTGGGTCTTATGCGCTCTACCACATGACCACACCGTTCTATATGAAACCTAAAACCACCTTAGTAAAATGTATATATTGTTATTAATTTTAATAAAATTACTACCTTGTTAAAGTTAATGTACTGATCAGAGTTGAACTAACCATCCTAGTTACCCAGCTGGTGCCCTGGTCATCTACTTTCTAAACCTGCTGCCAAGTCCTGTAACCCTAAAGCTAACCCAGTTCAAAGATCTGGATTTGGATTTGTATTTATTGACACCTGGAGATGAGGAAGGATTGAAATCAAGGTAGGTTCATGTTCATGTAAAACTAATATTTTTCTTTTTGAAGTTTTTAAAATCCCATTGTTTATATAAAGCTTTTTTAACATTTGTTGCCAAATTTAACTTCTTAAAAAAAAGATGTATGTATTATTTGCAGTATAAAAACAATTTACTGAGTATAGTTGTATCAAAATATTATTTCTTTTCCTGTCTGAAATAAAATGTAATTTGTTGAATATTTATAATTATGTTAGATGTCAATGAACATAATAACTAATTAAATAAAAAACAATTAGTGCTTTATCTACAGATACTAATTATTAATAAAGCTTTGAACTTTTTATAAGTTTACAATTCAATTTATTTTCTTATTGCAATATACTAGGTAGTTGGTCTTTCTAGAGACAAGTGGTCATTGAGATTAAGGGTTCTTAATATATAAAACAGTAATGAAATGAATATTGTAATGTAAAGTCACAACAGCCCTGTATAATTTTTAGAGAGCTATATCCACCACCATCTCAATGACCAGAGATTTATGTCCCTTGATCCTGCAAGAATACTGTTTTAATAATCTATTAACAAATTATATTTAAAGTGTACCTAAATACAATTGAACTGAATGGATGGGAAGTTTTGTAAAACATTTTCTTTTTCTATCCAATTTTTTTCTTATATTAACAAGTAACAAATCTCTTTATCAGATATTCCAGCAGTCTGAACGTTTTGTAACATTTACTTTTGTGTCTACGTCTTCAGTTCAGTCCAACTGAATGGTCAAGTGCTGCAGATGTCTGGTCCAGATCTTCCCCCACTAGAGCCCAGGACAGTTACAGGAGATGTAACAGTGGAGAAACATTCTTTTGGATTCATTGTTGTCCCTAAGGCTGATGTTCAAAAGTGTGTGGACTACTTTCTTTCACATGGTGAAAATGGGAGGTCACTCTAAGAAACAAGTTATTAAGATGGATGCCACAGGTGTTTTTTAAGGTGTTCAGTATTTCTTACTTTTGTCATGAAGCTCTAATCATAAATACTTAATTTTAATGAGAGAAAATATAATTTTGTCTCGACTTTTTGCCAAATATTTTATTTTTTCAAATTATGCATTTTTTAATAGACATACACAATTACTTAAAACCATATTTTAAAAGTAAAAAATTTGCTACAATACCAAAAGAAATTTATTTTTTTTTTACTAATCTACACTGTATAGATCTAGAATCTAGTCCTGGTCACAATATGTTCCTTAAAAAAGATACTTCATCTATTAAAAATAATCAAATGTTATATATTATTAGCATTTCCACACTTAATTATTTACAAATGTTTGTAGTTTAGCAACACAAGTTTACTCTAAAATAAGAATGTATTTTTTAAACAGATTTTTTACATTGTAAGTTATTTAAATAAAATTAATGAATATGGCATACACAATTATTTTCATGCTGTAACATTTTTTAAAAAATGTAGTGTTACAGTAAATAACACAATGAATCTAGGCTGAAATTAAAGTCTAATCATCCTTTGATCTTAGATCCACAGGTTTTTTTTTTAAAACCTACTCTGATCAGAGGCGTAGTGACCCTTCCCGGCGCCCTGGGACAAAACGTTCGATTTGCACCCCCCCCCCTCAAGATTTCGATTTGCACCCCCCCTCAAACTTTTGATTTCCACCCCCCTCAACCTTTCAATTTATTTTTCCAACCCATTTTGGGACATATGTCGTCGTCCCCGCCCCCCCCCCCCTCACTACTGACTCTGATTCATTCAGCACCACAAGCTATTCCGCTGGTCTTTATGCTAGCCATAATTTACAAGTGAGATCTTTGTTTATGTGACATTTTTATATCAATTACCAAACCCTTCTATGGCTCATAGAAATGTTAATTTTTTTATATTGCCTTCCAAGGCCAGAGTATACTATTTGCATTTTTGTTTTAATTGCATCTGTACATAATTTTTTTTTATAATGATCTAAATATTTTTGTATTTAATCAACTCATCAGTTGCATATACCAGGTTATCTATTTTTGATCTGCTGTTTGTATACATATATCTTCTAAAGAACAAATTTTTAAGCTTATTGGTTAAGCTGCGATTTTTCTTGTTCACCAATGATTGTTCTCAAGAAATAAAAGTGGGCTATTCAAAAACTATTTGCTATCATGTTTTAAATTTGTAAGTTACACAAAGAAAACTGCATACAACATCTAGGAGGTTGTATGTAGCTAAAAGACAATTGAAAATAACTCTACTGCTGATTACCAAGCAATGCCCCACCACCCTTGTTCCCTCCCTCTCCCTCCACGCCCCACCCCCCTCCCTTGTTCCCTCCCTCGCCCACCCTCCACGCCTCACCCCCCTCCCTTGATCCCTCCCTCGCCCACCCTTCGCGCCCCACCCCCCTCCCTTGTTCCCACCCTCCGCGCCCCACCCCCCTCCCTTGTTCCCACCCTCCGTGCCCAACCCCCCTCCCTTGTTCCCACCCTCCGTGCCCCACCCCCCTCCCTTGTTCCCACCCTCCGCGCCCCACCCTCCTCCCTTGTTCCCTCCCTCCGCGCCCCACCCCCCTCCCTTGTTCCCTATCTCCCTTGTTCCCACCCTCCGCGCCCCACCCCCCTCCCTTGTTCCCACCCTCCGCGCCCCACCCTCCTCCCTTGTTCCCTCCCTCTGCGCCCCACCCCCCTCCCTTGTTCCCTCCCTTTGCGCCCCAACCCCCTCCCTTGTTCCCTATCTCCCTTGTTCCCACCCTCCGCGCCCCACCCCCCTCCCTTGTTCCCACCCTCCGTGCCCCACCCCCCTCCCTTGTTCCCTCCCTTCGCGCCCCAACCCCCTCCCTTGTTCCCTATCTCCCTTGTTCCCACCCCCTTCCCTTTTTCCCACCCCCCTCCCTTGTTCCCTCCCTCCGCGCCCCACCCCCCTCCCTTGTTCCCTCCCTCCGCGCCCCACCCCCCTCCCTTGTTCCCTCCCTCCGCGCCCCACCCCCTCCCTTGTTCCCTCCCTCCGCGCCCCACCCCCCTCCCTTGTTCCCTCCCTCCGCGCCCCACCCCCCTCCCTTGTTCCCTCCCTCCGCGCCCCACCCCCCTCCCTTGTTCCCTCCCTCCGCGCCCCACCCCCCTCCCTTGTTCCCTCCCTCCGCGCCCCACCCCCCTCCCTTGTTCCCTCCCTCCGCGCCCCACCCCCTCCCTTGTTCCCACCCTCCGCGCCCGACCCCCCTCCCTTGTTCCCACCCTCCGCGCCCGACCCCCCTCCCTTGTTCCCACCCTCCGCGCCCGACCCCCCTCCCTTGTTCCCACCCTCCGCGCCCGACCCCCCTCCCTTGTTCCCACCCTCCGCGCCCGACCCCCCTCCCTTGTTCCCACCCTCCGCGCCCGACCCCCCTCCCTTGTTCCCACCCTCCGCGCCCGACCCCCCTCCCTTGTTCCCACCCTCCGCGCCCGACCCCCCTCCCTTGTTCCCACCCTCCGCGCCCGACCCCCCTCCCTTGTTCCCACCCTCCGCGCCCGACCCCCCTCCCTTGTTCCCACCCTCCGCGCCCGACCCCCCTCCCTTGTTCCCACCCTCCGCGCCCGACCCCCCTCCCTTGTTCCCACCCTCCGCGCCCGACCCCCCTCCCTTGTTCCCACCCTCCGCCCTTGTTCCCACCCTCCGCGCCCGACCCCCCTCCCTTGTTCCCACCCTCCGCGCCCGACCCCCCTCCCTTGTTCCCACCCTCCGCGCCCGACCCCCCTCCCTTGTTCCCACCCTCCGCGCCCGACCCCCCTCCCTTGTTCCCACCCTCCGCGCCCGACCCCCCTCCCTTGTTCCCACCCTCCGCGCCCGACCCCCCTCCCTTGTTCCCACCCTCCGCGCCCGACCCCCCTCCCTTGTTCCCACCCTCCGCGCCCGACCCCCCTCCCTTGTTCCCACCCTCCGCGCCCGACCCCCCTCCCTTGTTCCCACCCTCCGCGCCCGACCCCCCTCCCTTGTTCCCACCCTCCGCGCCCGACCCCCCTCCCTTGTTCCCACCCTCCGCGCCCGACCCCCCTCCCTTGTTCCCACCCTCCGCGCCCGACCCCCCTCCCTTGTTCCCACCCTCCGCGCCCGACCCCCCTCCCTTGTTCCCACCCTCCGCTGTTCCCACCCCCATGTTCCCTCCCTCACCCTCCGCATCCCCCCCCCTTGTTTCCTTATTCATACCCCCTTTACCCTAGCCCTTATCTCCATACCCCACACCCCCTTCTCCCCCTTGTTCCCTACCTCCGCGCCCCACCTACTTGTTCCCTCCCCCTCCCTCCACGACCGACCCCCTTTACCCTAGCCCTTATCTCCATACCCCACACCCCCTTGTCCCCTCCCTCCCCCCCCCCCCCCTTGTTCCCTACCTCCGTGCCCCACCTCCTTGTTTCCTTATTCCTACCCCATTTACCCTAGCTGTTATCTCCACACCCCACACCCCCTGCCCCTCCGCACCCCAACTGCTTTCTCCACCAACAACATAAGGAACACAGGTTGGCGAAGCAACTTTCTTTTCTTCGCCTAGCTTATTTATTTATTTTTAACAAATTGGATTTAGCCTAATTTTTAGGTGCATCGCATCATTAAGTCTCGCTGTTAATGTAGCTTATGTCATTACCAAAATAATTGTAGTATGTCAGAACAGTAAATGTAGCTTATGTCATTACAAAAATAAATGTACCATGTCAGTACATTATATGTAGCTTATGTCATTACAAAATTAAATGTAGCATGTCAGTACAGTAAATGTAGCTTATGTCATTACCAAAATAAATGTACCATGTCAGTACATTATATGTAGCTTATGTCATTACAAAATTAAATGTAGCGTGTCAGTACAGTAAATGTAGCTTATGTCATTACCAAAATAAATGTATGTCAGTACATTATATGTAGCTTATGTCATTACAAAATTAAATGTAGCATGTCAGTACAGTAAATGTAGCTTATGTCATTACCAAAACAAATGTATGTCAGTACAGTAAATGTAGCTAATGTCATTACAAAAATAAATGTAGCATGTCAGTACAGTAAATGTAGCTTATGTCATTACCAAAATAAATGTATGTCAGTACATTATATGTAGCTTATGTCATTACAAAAATAAATGTAGCATGTCAGTACAGTAAATGTAGCTTATGTCATTACCAAAAAAAATGTTTGTCAGTACATTATATGTAGCTTATGTCATTACCAAAATAAATGTATGTCAGTACAGTAAATGTAGCTAATGTCATTACAAAAATAAATGTAGCATGTCAGTACAGTAAATGTAGCTTATGTCATTACCAAAATAAATGTATGTCAGTACATTATATGTAGCTTATGTCATTACAAAATTAAATGTAGCATGTCAGTACAGTAAATGTAGCTTATGTCATTACCAAAATAAATGTATGTCAGTACATTATATGTAGCTTATGTCATTACCAAAATAAATGTAGCATGTCAGAACAGTAAATGTAGCTTTGAATTACAAAAATAAATGTAGGGTGTCATACAGTAAATGTAGCTTATGTCAGTAAAGTAAATGTAGCTTATGTCATTACAAAAATAAATTTAGCTTATGTCGTCTTCTTACAACTATTACACAGAAGGCTGCACATTTATTCACACAGTAGGTTTGGTGATGCCCTCACAGTGGGTTGGTGATGCCCTCACACAGTAGGTTGGTGGTGCCCTCACACAGTAGGTTGATGTTGCCCTCACACAGTAGGTTGGTGATGCCTTCACACAGTAGGTTGGTGATGCCCTCACACAGTAGGTTGGTGATGCCCTCACAGTAGGTTGGTGATGCCCTCACAGTGGGTTGGTGATGCCCTCACACAGTAGGTTGGTGATGCCTTCACACAGTAGGTTGGTGATGCCCTCACAGTGGGTTGGTGATGCCCCGCACAGTAGGTTGATGTTGCCCTCACACAGTAGGTTGGTGATGCCCTCACAGTAGGTTGGTGGTGCCCTCACACAGTAGGTTGGTGATGCCCTCACACAGTGGGTTGGTGATGCCTTCACACAGTAGGTTGGTGATGCCCTCACACAGTAGGTTGGTGATGCCCTCACACAGTATGTTGGTGATGCCCTCACACAGTATGTTGGTGATGCCCTCACACAGTATGTTGGTGATGCCCTCACACAGTATGTTGGTGATGCCCCACACAGAAGGTTGATGATGCCCTCACACAGTAGGTTTGTGATGCTCTCACAGTAGGTTGGTGATGCCCTCATACAGTAGGTTTTGTGCCTTCACAGTAGGTTAGTGGTGCCCCCACAGGGTAGATTGGTAATGCTCTCACCAAATATCTTGTGCCCTTATACAGCAGGTTAGTGGTGGTCTCATACTATGGGTAAATGAAAACATTTAAATGTTAGCATTGGTTAATTTTAAATGTTTCAAATCATTAATTATATATACTAACATTATTCATGGTAATTATCTGAGAATTACTTATATCCAATGATTTAGAAAAGTTACAAGTTCAGCTTAAGTACTGAAATATTAATTTAAAGTTTGAAGTTTTTCACATACCTGCTTTTGGTATAGACTTTGTGATGCAACCATATATATTTTGTTTGTGTATTGTGGCTTTGTACTGCTCAGGGATTGTAAACACAACATGTAGTTGCCCTTCTGTAAGTCATGAATAGGTTTACCATTAAGTTGGAAACTGGAATGAATATTAGGGGTAAATTAGGTTTGTTTATATTTTCAACAGACTTTTTATTAGTAAAAGTCAATTACAAACACAGATATAATACAAATAATTTGAATAGCATAGCTTGCTGTGGTGTTTTGTATGAATGCCAAGTTGGTAGTCATAACAATTGTAAGTGGTTGTTGGTGCTCCAAAAATATTGTGTGGTTGTTGGTGCTCCAAAAATATTGTGTGGTTGTTGGTGCTCCAAAAATATTGTGTGGTTGTTGGTGCTGCAAAAATATTGTGTGGTTGTTGGTGCTGCAAAAATATTGTGTGATTGTTGGTGCTGCAAAAATATTGTGTGGTTGTTGGTGCTTTAAAAATATTGTGTGGTTGTTGGTGCTCCAAAAATATTGTGTGGTTGTTGGTGCTCTGAAAGAATTGTGGTTGGTGGTGCTCCAAATAAATTGTGGTTGTTGGTGCTCGAAAAATGTGTGGTTGTTGGTGCTTTTAAAAATAATCTGTAGCTGGAATGCTATACAACAAATGGTAGGCAACAGAGGTGTAGCTAGGGCAGGGCAGGAGGGATAGCTCTCCCATGCGCCGAACTTAGAGGACGCCAAGCAGTGTAGCAAAATAGCTCGTTAGAAGCTGCATTACTAAATTATAGACACTATAGAAAATAGACTGCTTCTTAGCTTCAAAGACTGATTTAACAGTCTTAATGGCGCCTTAATGTGGTAGGCAAGTGCTTCATAAGAAAAGGTATGTGATGGTTGATAGTGCTCTAAAGCAAGGATACATGGTGGTGCTGTATGACAAAGCTCAAAGAGAAGTTGATAAATGCTGTACTTCAAGTAAAAAGGTCGTTAAGATCTTTAGAGCAAAGAGTAGGTGGTTGGGCTCTGTGTTGTTGGTATTGCTCTCTATAATTGGTTTCTTTCAGACATTTTCCGAAGGGGGGGGGGCACTTGAAATTTCAAAGTGGTGTATTTTTTTAAATGGGGGGGGGAATGGAGGCGACCAGAGTTTCTTCCAGACATCTTTTCGGGGGGGGGGTGGTGGTGGGGAGTCTACTCCCCCCCCCCCCCCCCCCCCCAACGAAATGGAATTTATATAGAAAACATCACGTTTACCAGTGTCCGCCCCCCCCCCCCACCCGCCCTGAGCCCCCCCCCCGCCCTGAACCCCCCCCTCCCCCGGTAGAAAAAAGTCAATGGAAACACTGAAGATGAATGGTTAATAAAGTAGCCCTATGTAACATGTTTTTATATGTATATCCATATCGTTTATAGTTTATACTTTATAATATATGGAGCCCTTTATAAGTTAATAAGCTATAAATATTATTAAGAAATAATTATGAACTAATTATTAACCATTTCTTACCAAAATGCAGACATGTAGAATCTATGTTTTATCACAATTTGAATTAGTAGGCAGCGTTAAATAATGGAGTAGCTTGCGTCTACATTGATCCAGAAAACACAGACAAATGAAGTGAGTTGAAATCACAGTGCTCTGGGTTGCCTTTCTTTGTTTACATCGAGCAACACATTACAGAGTTACCGCTCTTATATATGAAAATTAAATACAAATTTTTTCATAAAGTTGTCAAATTATTTTGTTTAAAGATCTCTGGTAGTTGGATCTAACACTACAGCATTAGCCATCAAGCCACTATTACGGGTTTTACTCACAAACACCAAACCAAATATTTAAGTTTGTAACTTGTGAATGTATCCACAGTAATTTTCTATAATCTTATCCCTTTGTTGTACCTTAGAAATGGCCCAAGGTCTTTGGATTTTTAAATGGTTTAGGATCTAACACTCTTAATAAATAAAGTTGTTTTTTTTTCTAAATTTCACTGCATTTAAAGGTTTTTTAAAGGGTTTTTAAATTTCTTGTAATATACGCTTTTTTTTTTCTGTTCACGTTGTTTGGGGGGTCATCAAAATGACGTCACACTCGTAGGGGGGAGGGGGGGTCCGTAATTTTGTGACGATGTGTCATGAGGGGTAGGGGGGGGGGGGGGTTCAGATGTTGCGACGTCACATTTTTGCATTATAAAAAAGCAATGTTAGAAAACGAATTTTAGACGTTATTTCGCGTTTTAGATAACTGTTTTAATAAATTGTAATAGTTTAGACAAAGATGGAAAATATTGATGTTTTAAAAAAATTCAACTGCAATTTTGAGGGGGGTTGTAGGTTGAGGTGTGACGTCATTTTAGGGGGGGGGGTCTGGCTTTTTGTGACGACGTGTGACGGAGGGGAGGGGGGGGGATAAAATCGTCAAAAAATAGCGTGACGTCATTTATGGATGACCCTTTGTTTGTTCGTTTCAGGGTCCACCCCCCCCCCCCATTACCCCCGAACGAAAAGGAATTATTTAGAAAATATTTTATACTTCTACTAGTACCCCCCCCCCCCCCAAAAAAAATCTAAAAGAAACACTGCCCCAGCCAAAAATGAAATAGATCTAGTTAGATAATTGAGTGATTATCGTCGCTATTCGCTTTCATACTTGTTGCTTGTGAACTAGACTTTATAGTGCTGGGAAGAAGGCGTCTAGAAATAATGTCTACAGCTATAGGTCAATGATCAATCACATAGCGTGAGCAAACATCTCAATCAAATCACATACAATTAATGAAGTTTTCAGAACATAAGTTCCCAGAACATTCAGGTAACCAATCTTATGTTGCTACCCCCCCCCCCCCCCCACACACACACACACACATAGGGGGTCATCCATAAATGACGTCACACTCGTAGGGGGGAGGGGGGTCGGTAATTTTGTGATGATGTGTGATGAGGGGGAGGGGGGGTCAGATGGTGCGACGTGATCACACTTTTGCTTTATAGAAAAGAAATGTTAGAAAACGAATTTTAGGCGTTAATTTGCGTTTTAGAAAACAGTTTTAATACATTGTAATAGGAATTGATTAAAATTCTCTATTTTGACATATTTCAGACAAGATTTTGGAAAAATATCGATGTTTAAAAAAAATCAACTGCAATTTTGAGGGGGGGTGTAGGCTGAGGTGTGACGTCATTTTAGGGGGGGGGGTCTGGCTTTTTGAGACGAGGTGTGACGGAGGGGAGGGGGGGAGGTAAAAATCGTCTAAAAAACCGTACGTCATTTACAGATGACCACTAATCTAGTGCAAAAACTAATGAACATTAGGCTATATTATGCTATAAAGTTATTGTGTATACTTATTCATATAACGTGTTTTTTTTTATTGTTTAAAATTTAAAAGGCGATAGATCTACATAAAATTAAAAACGAATAATCTACAGATAGACTACAGATGGGGGTGGGGTGGTTACCCGGAAATAGTATTGATCTTAAAATAGGTAAAGGGAGAGCAGTATCAAGATTAGTGCTCGGTTTTCTGTCACTAATGAAAACAACAACAAAATGATACTCGAGGTTCTAGGATTCTAGTGTAATTCGAGCTAAGCCTACACAACAGAGTATTGAATAATGACCCAAGCAAAATTAAAACAGTGAAGCTAATTATTAAGATCAATACATAAGGTAATAAATGTAGACTGCACTACTACTCTACTTTTAGTTTTAGAATATCTTTAGACTTTAGTAGGCATTTCGATGTCCGCCATTTTGTTTAATCTGGCCACATCCGAAATTTTTCAAGCCAACTTTTGTAATTTCGGCCATTTTCCATCCAAGTGCTTAGTTATCATGAGAGAATCGATAAATTAATGTATTCGATACGTCAAAGTGGGCTGTTTTTATATTCTATGTTTGTATGGAAAACTATTAGTTACATTTTAACATATCGATCCCAATTTTATCGAGGTATCTTAGCGAGCACGTCTCATTAAACGCAGTAACCGACTTCTTTCAATTAGTATTAATTTTAGCAAGAAAGTAAAGTATAATAAGCTAGACATTAGTTGTAATGAGCATCCTAACCATTCTCAAGAACAAAAATAACAGTTTCATAGAGTTCTTTTCATTGGAACATGCTTAAAAAGCATTGGTAAATCTTGGGGGGGTCCCGCTGACACAATTTTTTAACAGGGCGATAGGGGCCGCGAGGTTACCTATTATCGATAGAACCAAATTTCGGCATTTAAGGGGACCGTCATGAGGATTTGCAAAAAAATTTAAAAGGCAGTGTCTGTACTATTTTTTGTTATATAATAGAAACATAAGTATTGACTAACTTATAGAAATTTTATTCTGAGTAAAAAAACAAAAAATAAGTATTTTAGGCGCGTCTGGGGTGAAAATATACCAATTATTACTATATATTTGTGCGGAATCTAGTTTCTAAACCATTTGATAGAATGTATTTAAACTTTACATGTTGTTTTGAATTGTACATGTCTATTGGATGACAAAGGGATTTTTTTAAATCTTTGTTAGATTATTTTTTATGAATTTTTGTCTTAACATGCTCTCGGAATGCACAGAAAAAATTGAATACCATTCAAAAAAAAAATTGGTAAAAAAAAACTATCAAAGCAAACTCAATTCTGCTTTGACATCCAATAGATATATGTATTTGAAATAATTTTGCAAAGTTAGAACCTCCTATGACTCCTCATTAATGAGAGATATTCCGTACGGTTTTATAAATTACAGAAAAACACAAATGCGAGAAAAACAGAAAAAACTATTGCGATGTCAGTTTTAGAGATAATTTTATTGTTATTATCATACCATGCTTATATTTTTAGGAACAATGTGCAATGGTACACATAAATATCACTTTATACAAAGAAAATGTTATCAAATAAACAACCAGGAATAAAAGTAGAGACATACACCCCTAAGAAAAATTTTGATCATAAAAAGCAAAAAAAATTTTTTTTGTAATCCACCTCTAAATTCATTGCTATCAAGTATAGCAACCTGAAAAGTGAACTTCCCTTAGTTAACTAATTTTAAATTTGATGTTCTAGGTTTATTTAGCAATTTAAAAACAATTATACTACTGCGAAACAAAATGTAAAAATTAAATCTTATCAGCAGTATTATCTAAGTATTTTTATTCTAAGTAAAAATAAGATTTCCCTCTTCAACTGCTAAAACCTACTAGTAGTACTAGTGTTATCTAGGATTCCTTTTCTTTACTGTATACAACTACAATCTTGTATTGGCATTCTGGATAATACCCATCAGGCATCCTGGGTCATACAGGTTAAAAATTCCATTCATCACCTTCTCACGCACATCCTTGACTATAATTACTGTTAGAAATGTCTATCTAGTTTTACAATGAAAGGCATAATGTCATTGTAATAACACCATGATTGGCTTCTTATGGATAGTTAGAGGTGGTGTGATGATTAGGCATTGGTAGAAGTTGGTCATCTATCGGTCAGCAATCTCGCCCACAGACCTTTCACTGCGGCCAACTTCATGACCCTTGCTGGTCTAGTGTAGCTTTCACTGCAGTCTTGCAGAAGTCTATAAAAAGAAAAAAGATTCTAACCAAATATATAACATGAAATTGCTTGTACTCTCTTATTTATATAAACACAACTCACTACTGCTGTATAATAATAGTACAAATTTACATCGCTCAGTGTTTATAAGATTTCTGGTAAAGAAGACACATGTATGCACATTACATTACTAACAAATCATTGAACTAACCTGGATATAAAAAATCCTGTCTTATCTTGATGACAGCTGATATTCCATGCTGGCTTGTATTTTACCATGTCCTGTTGAAGCTTACTATAATATCCAGGGCTTCTTCAGCGTCAGTCTATCCAGTATCCAGGTATATAGAAAGTCAACAGCGAAGCATTGATTTTCCTCATGGTTCTGCTTTGCATGTTGAAAATGAACATGTTTCCTTGGTTGATCTACTGAAATTGATTCTTTGGTTGCTATCCCTTGATTACTCTCTTCTGTTTGACAATGCCATGTGAATTTGTAGCCTGATCAAAGAAGAAAAATATTTCATTGATTTTTATATTTTATTATAACTTCCAACTAATTTATAGTAGCCTATATAAAATATTTAGTAATATACTAACAAAATGCACCTGGTTATTATGGCACAGCTGTCCTTGTAATTAGATCTAAGTTTTGATTCTAACAAAGTTTTGTTAGATAGATAGACTAGAAGTTGAGATCCTATCTAGAAATCTAGCTAGAAGATTCTAAAACTAGATTTATAACGAGAGAGAAATATAGAAAAATATTTGACCCTCCGCTTAATTTTAACAATAAATCATACACATTTTAAAAGTCATCAATTATGAGTAATCTATTTATTTATTTATATCAAAATTATTACTTACCAAGGCAAAAATGAAACTGTAAATGAAAAGCTCGGTGTCGAATCGCGAAACAAAAATGGCTGCCACCAGTTGTTTATTCTGGATACTGCGTGACGGAAATGTAACATCGGGGACGAAAGAGCTCCAAATTTTGACTCTTCAGTCGCAGAGTTATATTTATTTTCCACAACAACCAATAGAATCGCGTATATTTGAAATTTATAGTCTAATTCTCGAGTTTGGTTGAGTCTTTGTGTCCATTGCTATTTTTAGATGAAAATAGGTCATGATACTAAAAAAAGCAGCCATTTTAGAGCTTTCCATCGATGTATGACACATGCGGGTAGATAAAATATGAAGTACGATTATTGGGGCTCAAAGTAGACGAATAATTAGCTTTCTGAGAAAAACTAAGCGATGGTTATGATTTAAAAATCATTTTTAAACATATTTTAAAATAAAGTTGGCCATAATGAGTGGAAAAAACGTGTTCCTAAGATGTTGAATTGTTTATTTCAATAATAATCGAAAAATCGATATTTTCAAAAGATTTATCAAAAATTCTCATGATGGTCCCCTTAAAAAAGAGATAAGTTCAGGAAACTAGATCTAGTAAATAAGTAATGCCAAACTATTTTGATGGGTGGAAATGTTGGTTTTATGGGGCTTTTTAGCTCTTTATAACCAGATATTGCTTCTTGCGTGAAGTGAAGGGGATCTACGCAATTTTAATAATGACGGCCGAGTTTAAATTTTTATGACGGTCCATAGACCATATGCATGAAATATAAAAAATCGCACATTTGATATTACTGTTTAACACTATTCATTGAATTGGCAAGATTTTAGCTTATAGAATGTTTTTTATGGATTAAATAAAATTTAAAGCAATGGAATTAATAGTCCCATTCATTAATAATCTTCCATATTAGTCATTTTCAATTGGGTAATAATAATAGGCCTAATTAAAATTTTAAATAGTAATAAATAGGCCCTTATAAATATTAGGCCCCTATAGAATAGATTTAGATCTATGTATTTTAATGAGTAATTGCTTATAAGAATCTAATAGAACTAATATTTATTGCATCAAGCTTAAATATATAATTATGTTGTAAAATTACTTATGGATGATGTCTAAACTTTAGTTACCCCGTTTCAGGAAAAACTGATTAAGAAAATAATTACAAAGATTAAATTGGTCATTTCTCAGATTATAGTATATTATCTTTAAAATTTAATAATAGCTAAAATATACTACTAGATCTATAGAGGCATGGAAAGTAAAATAAATGAAGTCAAAGATAAAATAGAAACATTAACACTTCACTTTAATAATGTGATCTAAAGCAACAGTGATAGATACATTTTTTTAAAAGTCAAAAAGAAAACAGAAACAGTAACACTTTGAACAATGTGACTTAATTTTATAACTTAAACTAAGCAACAGTAATTTTTTTTAAACAGTAGGTTCAGATCAGCAAATAAGGCAGCTGTCTATCCTTCGGTTGCGACACATCTCATCTAGTTTCTGTAGGCTGTCTATTGATTAACCATCCTTGGCTACTTATTAAAAGTAGCCTATAACTAATGCTACTAATATTTAGATATTTCAACATAATCCTAACCATATCATATTCCAGTATGAGTATAATACACAGGTATTATTGATACAAGATTTCAGTGCCACCCCCATTAATTAGACTTTATATGTGATTGTCTTTTTCTCCTAGCATTTTTTTGACTTGTAAATTTCTATTCCCAACATCCTTAAGCATCTATGTGCTAAGTTTTATCTTTGTATCATCAATAGCAACATAGATATTCAGTATGAAAAGTGACTTGTGGCAATCATAGTAGAACGGCACCGCACTCCTTAATTGGGCTTTATTAAGTTAATTATTAGTTGTTTTCCATTTAATTAAGCTGTATTTCACTTGCATATTCCTGTTGCCTGTACTCCCTAGCACCAATATGCAAAGTATTATCAATATATCTTTATTAACAACAGAGTTGTGCAGTTTGACAATAGACTAACGTTGCTCTCTATATAAAAACGCCATGACCCTTAATTAGTCTTAATTATTTTTGGTTTTACCTTTACTGATCTTTATTTCAATTGCATATTCCTGTTGCCTCTACTCTCTAGTATCAATATGCAAAGTTTTATCATTACATGTTAAAAAATAACAACGCTATATGAACTCAAAGAAGGACACCAAATATTTTGCAACTTTACAATAAAATATAAGCTGTTTAACATACAACTTTAAAAATTCATTAAAAAAAAACTACTGGGCCTACAGTGATACATTTAGTGGTTTATTAAATGGCAGTTTATGGCCTTCAATATTATGTGTGTTTTATCATTCTGAGATAATTAGGCAAAATTTACCAAAATGCCTAGACTTTAGACTTTAGGGTAAAGGAGGGCGTTAAGAGCCGTGTGTAAGCCCCAATCAACACGGTAAACGGAAAAAAAGTCACAGGAAAAAAAAACACAGAAAAAAAGTCACAGTTTTTGCTAGGAAAAAAAGTCACAGAAAAAAAGTCACAGTGGAAAAATTTTATCGGAAAAAAAGTCACAGAAATTAAGTCACAGAAAAAAAGTCACAAAAATCTGTTTAGAAATATTTTTATTAATTTGTTAAGAATTGTAAAATTTTGTATGTTTATTGTTGTGGGTTGTATTTTTTGATGGCATAAATTATTTATAGACGTTAAAAGCATTATGATTTATAACAATTGTAAGTAAAAATACTCTAAGATAATTAATTAATTAACACAACAATCTCAACTTTTGTTACATATTTAGTTAAATACGCGGTAGAAAAGTTAATTATAAAAGAAATTTTGGCACATTTTGCCGTAGGCTATTCTCTGGTCGGCCTCTCCTCAGTAGGCATTGTCCGAACATATTTTGTGTTGCTGACGTTATGCGTCAATGACAGCCTTTGAACCTTGTCGGCTTTCTGTTTTGATCCTAAGTTTTGTTATGTAATGAGCGTGATAAATGTGGGCAGTAAAGGTGGTTGAACTAAACATAACTATTGTTGCCATGAGTTGAGGGCAGCAAGTCAGATGAACTTACAATTTCACGTTAATTTAATATTGGTATTTAAAAAAAAAAACACGATGAAAAACGTGGACTTTGGAGCATTCTATTAAATGCTACTAATCTTAAGTTTAAAATAATTACTATCTACATGCTTCATAATAAATATTTGTATATGAATTATAAAAATTCCTATGCGTATACAGCCTACACACATTACATTACATTTAATTAATCCTAAGTTAATTTGCACTCTCTAAATATTTAATACATAAAAGAATTAACAAATATCATGCAAATATATATTTGTGACTTTTTTTCCTGTGACTTTTTTTCCTGTGACTTTTTTTCCTGTGACTTTTTTTCTGTGTTTTTTTTTCCTGTGTTTTTTTTTCCTGTGACTTTTTTTCCTACAATCATCAACACCCCACCCCCACAAAACCCCCAATAACACTGCTAATCTACTTCTGAGGTAACAACCACTGCTGTTCTTTGATAACAGAGAAGCAGAGGATTCATTTTATGTAATTTATGACCCACTTGGTCCAATAGGGAGAGGATGAGACAAGATTTAATCCCACTACTACTCTTTCCCTAAAATTTCTCATCTCCATAAAACCATTTTGTGAACTTTTTTTCCAAATAGACATAACTTGGGAAACTTCACTTTGTAATAAACCAAATGAGTTTTTCAAGCCCATTCTTTGTTCTTGTATTAGAGCATTGGTTGTTGTACATTTTAACACTATTTTTATAGCTATGGCTAGAATAGTTTTATTTTGGTGAATTTTTTTTTGCACAGTGATTATTAGTGCCAAAACAAAATGGCCGACATTAGTCCCATTTTACCATGCTATAAAGTTTTTATCATTATCAGAGTAAAACTTGACTGATCATTACCATAATGGTTTTATTTGTTAGATAATAACTAAATCTACATGAATACATTAATTTTGTCCACTAGCTTGCCTGTTTAGAAAGGTTATAACAGATACTGTTATGTGGCTCTTGAAACCCTATGTGCAAGTTTCTCATTTATTAGACCACTGAATATGACACTGGTATAGGAATAGTTAACACAAAATGTATTAATTGTTAAACAGACTTGTGTCTAAATGATAGAAATACTATTCTAACCTGCTAAAAAGTAAAAATTCAGTCATCTCATGTTAGCAAGGTAATTTTTAAAATGGTATGAGTACTTATTACCCCTAAGGGGCAATACAGCCGACTCAGCCCCCACCTGTTTCTAACCAACCATAAAACTTCTAATCTCTTTGTAGGTAACAGGAATAAATGTTCTTAGGTCTCAGCCAATCTGGGGTGGTATGTTATGTAATTTATGACCCTCATGGTCCAGCATGGAAGTAAACAGACACATTAATACCACTGCTCCCCCCTTACAATTTCTTACCCCCATGATACCCAGCCCCCACCAGTTTCTGGCCCACCATAAAACTTCATCTCTTTGTAGGTAACATGGATTACAGTTACAGATCTCAGACAATCTGTGGTGGCATGTTATGTAACATATGAACTTCATGGTCTAGCAGGGTGGAGACCAAAGAGGAATCAGTACCACTGCTCTCCCCTCACAATTTCTCACCTCCATGATCTAACCCACCATAAAACTTCATCTCTTTGTAGGTAACATGGACTAAGTTCTTAGATCTCAGCCAACCAGAGATAGCATCTCCTTATGTAATTTATGGCCCTCAGGGTCCAGCAAGGAGAAAAAAAGGGGAAACCAGTACCACTGCTCTCCCCTCACAATTTCTCACCCCCATGATACCCAGCCCCCACCTGTATCTAACCCACCATAAAACTTATCTCTTTGTAGGTAGCATGGACTTAGTTCTTAGATCTCAGCCAACCAGAGATAGCATCTCCTTATGTAATTTATGGCCCTCAGGGTCCAGCAAGGAGAACAAAGGGGAAACCAGTACCACTGCTCTCCCCTCACAATTTCTCACCCCCATGATACCCAGCCCCCACCTGTATCTAACCCACCATAAAACTTATCTCTTTGTAGGTAGCATGGACTAAGTTCTTAGATCTCAGCCAACCAGAG